AGCCATTTGTTACTATTTGATTCATTATATTTTCTTCAAAATTTTTCTGGATTCAGAGTTATAAAAACTTTTTTTTTGCTCAAATAAATAATCGAAGTTATAGTTTTCCGGAAGAGCATTAAAAATAAAGTCTACAATTAAATTTTTTTGATTAGTTTTTATAATTTTATTTTAATTTTCATTCTTGTTTTTCGTTGATTATTAGTAGAAATTTGGTTACGGCAATCGATGTATTTTTTAGAATAGTGCTTATTGAATTTTATATGCTTTTTAAAAAAACACTTAGTTTGTATGTTTTTCATTTTGAAGAATCGAAGAAAATAAATCACTAAATCAATCATATGATTTTCGAAACTTTTTTTGGGTGGCGATTTTACCCCAGTCAACACAATCTAGGCTTTAAATCTGCACCACTTACTAAATTTATCGGTTTGAAAAAGGGGCTAATCTACTAATAAGTCAACCGATTGACATAATACGTAGAGCATGAGTTTTGTGATCAATTTATGCATAGGATAAGTAATTAAAAATCTTTAAATTTTCCGATTCTGAAATTTATTAAGTAATTGTTTTTATTAACGTTAAGCATATCTAGCAAATTACATCGGCACTAATATACTGTATGACACTAATATTTAGTTGAGCCACTCTCAGCATCATAGCATGCCCTTACCCGATTGGGTATACTATTGACTAGCCCACGATAATATCTGGGTAGAATTGAATTCTAAGTAGCTTTGACCATTTCTTCCAAATCTTCAATGCTTGTAGGTTTATCCAAAGAACTGCGTAAACGGCTTTCAACCTCCTGCCAAAGGTTTTCTAATGGGTTCAAGTCTGGGCTCTGCGGTGGCCAGGGTAACATGGAAATACCAGCATTATCAAAAAAATCTATAGCTTTTCTGGATTTGTGAGAGGGCGCATTATCTTGTTGAAAAATGCCTTTTCCATTAGGAACTAGTTAATGTATAGCAGACATAGCATATTTTCTCATAAGTTGTGTGTATACTTCACCATTTATACGGCCATGAATTGGAATAATTGGTCCTAATCCATGCCATGAAAAACAACCCCAAAACATACGACCAGGACTACGACCCA